AATGCTGTTAGGAAGGTGAGTTTACAATTCGATGTGTGACCAAATAGGAATTTTCAATTTGAACTTTATTTTCTCTCATTTTTAGCGCGTAGCAGAGGCTTTGAACTTAAGTATGTCCACAGTCTGTGATATTTCAAAGACAGTCAAAAATAACGAAGTTTTGGAATCGCCTTCTAAGAAGCGATGCACTTCGAAGAGAGTCTGCGATGTTTCAAAGCTCGATAGTCTATAGCACGACTTCAAATGGAAAAAAGATGACCCAAAACAAGGGCTCATGGAACTTCCTGATATTTCTGTTAAACGCATATCATTTTTGAGGTCTTATCTAAGACTCAAACAGGAGGCTTTGTACCAGTTTGTTTTCTTGGATGAGACTTGAGTTTTTCAAAATGGGAGGTACTATTAACCGCTCGTGGCAAGACAACAAGCGAAGTGTTAAAACTACCAAAGTTGATGGTAAAAGGTGAATATAAATATGAATACAGAGAGCAGTTGTATTATAATGTACAAATGAAATGCTTTTTTAGATATATCATACTTCATGCTGGCAATGAAAATAGATTCATTAAGGTGCGTCGCTCGTATTTTCATCGAACACTCAACTTATATTAACGACTATCATGGTTTTAATGAATCAGCAAAACTTTTTACGTTGGTTCGAAAATCAGCTTTTGAAAAACTTGAGTGAACCGTCTGTCATTGTTATAAACAATGCTCCTTACCACAGCATGTTATTAACGAAGACACCTAATAGTTCGTCTACCAAGGCTGAAATTCAAAATTGGTTAACCGAACAGAAAGTTGAGTATCCAAATACAGCATTTAATCTGAACTTGTGACCCTTGTTGCACGGTAAGTACCTACAATACCAAAATTGTATGCATTTTATGCTTAACTTCTCAAGTATTGCTTTTTCAGGAATAAACCAAAAAAAAAAATATGTAGTAGATGACTTGGCAGAACAGTATGGACATAAAGTTTTAGGACTACCTCTATTATACCACTGTACTTTTAACCCCATTGAACTTATTATCAATGTTGATGGAGACACTAGCAATTCTAGCGATTTCAGTGATCCAGAATAATTGAAAATATTCTTGATGGTTCAAATATTCATAATATTTAATTTTTTATAGTATTTTGAGTGGCTGCAAATAAAATAGGTACTGAGCGTGAGCGTTTCCATTATATTATAATATAATCCATTTTTTTTTCTGAAAATATTTTGACCAAAGGAAAATATGCAAGAGACGGCAACGCTGTGCTCTACTATTATTGACAAACAGAAACCCTTTGAGTATAGACCGTCAGCTAATGACAGATTTTGCTGACCGATTTTCTCTCTTCGGTGATTTCAACCACTGAAAATTATGTGAGTGCTGCGCGCAAAAAATTAAAATTTAGCAACCGAACGTCTACTAGGCATATGGAAAATGTATTTTCCTGTTGCAGAAGAAAATAGGTTATTTTTTCAATTAATTTCTTTTTCATGTCATTTTAACATATTAACCTTATTGAACAATCTAATAATGAAAAATCAAAGCTATAGGGTTTGCACCAATGTTTGCACGTACTGAAAGGGTTGAAATAAGGGCGCGATCGTGTGAAAAAATACTCGGTTTTGGATCGTTTTCTCGCTTATGGCAATCGACAGAATATTGTTAGGAACCAGAAAAAACAAATTCCATAAGCCGGTCAGCTGTTGAAGTATATTTCACGGCGACTACAAAAGGAAAGTAAATTTCCCATATGCCTAGCAGACGTCCGGTCGCTAAATTTTCATTTTTCGAGGTCAGCACTGATATAATTTTCAGTGGTTGAAATTAGGGCTTCGCGAGACCACAAGACTAGTCTTAGTCTTTTTTTGGTCTTGGTAGCAAGACCAAGACCAAGATCTGATAAATCTTCTCAAGACCAAGACTTGACGTTCAATACCAAGACCAAGGCCAAGACTCTGTCTCGAGACTCTCGTCTTGGTCTTGGTCTTAGAAAGAAAAATCCACTCATTATTTATAAAAATATTCAAATTCCTATATCTATTACTTTTAATTTCTTTTAATTAAATCAATCCATCAGATTTATTATTTTATCCCATTTTGACGTTTAAAAATGACATTATTGAACGCATAATGACAAAGGTAAGTAGACGTTTATCACCTGAGTGACTTAAAATATTTTTAACTCACTCTCGGTCTTTTAAGTCACTCTGCCAGTATAAAAATCTGCTACAAATACAAACAAACAACTAGTTATACCTTAGCAACCACCAATTTCAATAATTATCGCTTTCATAACTACTAAATGAATTCTTTTTATAATTTGATTCCTTACTTTTTAAATGTCCATCAAAATGGGATAAAATTTTGTATAAATCACGTGAGTTAAAATGTTTATTCATTCGAAGAAAATTAACCCACTCGCTAGGGCTCGTGGGTTAAACTTTCTTCTCATGAATAAACATTCATTTAACTCACTTGGTGTATAAATAACTATTTTCAAATTCACGAGAAGGTGGAAATAGGTTTATTCTTATAATGGTTCAAATAGAATAATTTTTTTTTCCTCGGAACAGAATGGCAATTTCATGGTGTGTTTGTCAACTTTTCTGTTCCGTGAAAAAAAAATCTAATTTATGAATTGATGCTTGTTTATTCCTCTGCGTTGTGGAATGCTTTATGCGGTATTTTTTGATACGAAACGCTCTTGCTGGTATAAATTTTTTTCAAAACCAAGACCAAGACTGAGCCAGTCTTGTCTTGGCCTTGAAACATCAAAACAAGACCAATACCAAGACCGCATTTATTTTCCGAGACCAAAACCAAGACTGGCCAGTCTTGGTCAGCAAAATCTGTCATTAGCTGACGGTCTATCAATAAAAATGCTTGTAGGATGCTTTTTAGCTGTTTCGAAAGTGAAGTGAAGTATTTCTGGTTGTGACAGGCAACTGATTATAGAGTTTAACACTGCTATAAATAATCGATTCCTTATGTTTTTCCTAAAAACTGCAAATGTGATAAGGCTGAAATTTTAAGGAATTAAAGTACCTACCTACATAAATAATCTCGATTTTCATTACTAGAGAACATCTATGAGAAAGTGGATATGAAGAAATATATATAAAAATATTCCCAAATAACTGGGTCAGAGATGATCAAACATTTTCATTAGTCACATAACAGTTTAAAATTCCAGACTCAAAAAATGTCCATACTCCCACAAGATATCATTCTGTCACATTAAGCTAAATTTATTTATTACACAGATGTCCGTGATCTTAATCGAGCCCATTTCTTTGGCGAATGTCGCTTTGTGAAATAGTTGAAATGATGATGGTTATAACGTGCATATGTAGAATTTTCTTATACTAATGAATTAAGATACATTCACCCACTTTTTGGTTAAGTTTCAAATTCCTCCTCATTAAAATCTAATTTTACAATGTTGCTTTAGCAGCAATTTTATGTTGATGGCAAAGTCGAGTGGTCGACCCTTAACCTTTTGACCTACGAAAAGAAAATTGCGTGGGTTTTGTGCCTAAGAATAAAGAAACTATGCCAAAGCACGAATCCACTTTTTCACTATGTTATTTTCTAAGGCCATTAAAAATAATGAAAATAGGGCACCTTGCTATAATATTTGAAAAAGCTTCATTATACATTAGTTTATAAATTTTTCAATATCTTTTTATTTTACATCCCGTCCGTCCTTTGCAGGCATTATCTAGGCCAAATTACTGATAATAAACAATTTCCAAGAAGGATGCATTTTATAGTGATAAAACAAACAACGAAACAGAACTTTATCTGAAACAATAAAAACTCTACTTATCGTAATTACGCAAATTGTTGCATGAGTTCTCACCAGCAATAAAAATAAAACCATAGACAAATTTATAATAGCGATATTGTATAATAAACCTTGCGGTATGTGAATAATACGGCATTTCATCCTCTATTGTTTAAACCGTAAATTAGTTTTGTTTAAGATATAGACAATGCACCGCATTATAATAATTTATTATTTGAACAACGGATAAATGATGAATTGTAATTAATTGATGCCGTTTTTTGCACACAGCTATCAAAAATATGTGTGTCGACTATTGTTGGATAATTCCATAGGTATTAAATTATGCAGTAATAAGCCTGAGAAAAATAAATGATTTTCCCATTATTGATACTTTTTTTTTAACACCTATAATTTTTTAATGGGTAATTAAGGATAATTATATGGCAAATTTTTGTTGATTTTCACAGTTTTAAATTGTGCACTTGTCACTAATTCCGCAGGTCCACTAAAACTCTCCCTCTCTTTACACTAACATCAACAAAAATCCAAAATTTAACCACACTCGCCTTGATGGATTTTATTTAACATTGCGATAAAATTGTTCTCTCTTGTGCTAGATAGGTAAAATTACTTATCCAACATTAAGTCAATATGTTTCATCTTGCCCAAGCGTGTTAAAAACATTAGATGTTTTTTGGACAACGCATGGTGCATTGTTGCCCTTAAACGTTACATTGAAAAATCATTTCCGTATTCTTTTGAAAATTTTCAAGGGATTCTTACAAAGGAACAATAATTGTAAGTAAAACATCCCCAAATTAAGGTTTCTAGGGAATAGGATGAAAATAATGTATTGAAACCTCTCATGAAAATTATTGAAATTTTCCAGAGCTTTTTCCTGAATAAAATGCAAATTTTTCAGCTCTTTCACAAATCCTCTCCTAACTTATAATTTTACAAAGGCTAATAAACCGGTGGATACCGAAATCGATGCGTGTCGTGAAGCGCGAAATATCAAAGCATAAACCCCAAGTTTTCCTGATGAGTTCGCGCCCTTTTCATTACCGCAAAATGGAAAAAACTTTCCAATAATTATTATCAAGTGCCATTATGTGGTATCGTCCCTGCTTTACATAATATTGAAAAGAGTAGAGTATTATCAAGTTTTAAATTTTCCCCACAACTACTAATTTCCTGATGGTTATTTTCAGATGTCTTTGGCGAGTACCTCCAGTGAACAATCCCCAGAACCGTTATTCGATTTACAAGATCTGCACGGACAGGCTGCGCTCCATGTGGCATCCAGATTGGGCCAGGCTCAAGTCGTTAAGGTTGGTAACTTTGAAACAAATCAAACAAAAAAAGAAATTATTTATTTATTTGTTTTGTGTGTTATTTAGGGAAGTGGCGCCCCTCTGGCGCCTAAACACAATCGTCAACGCAAATCGAACATAGTCAATTTGTTATGTAAGGTACGGATGCTGGCTGAGTGGCTTTAAAATTTTGCTAATTTAATGAGTGGAACTAAAATATGCTGTGGCCTTCAAAAGTGAAATATGATGCGGAAAATTTTAGTTGGATTGTTTTATGGTCATCTAATTAGAATATTTTTCTATGATTCTGCAGATTTGCATTATAATCTACAACCTATCATACAAGTTCTATACAAAACACCCCCCATGTTCTCCTATTTTATAATTTTCAGTTTAAAGCTTACAAAATAACATGCAAACAGAATGTGGCCGATTACTCTAGAATTAGTAGAAATATTTCGAGCTGCATTCGATTGACATTAGAAATATACAGGGCCTTCCAAAAGTTATGGGACAGTCTAGTATCCAGAAACGGTTTTAGAAAAATTTACATCTTCTGCAATCAGTTCATTTACCTAATTCATCTGATTTTTGATCTGAACAATTTGGCAACACAGCACTCATACAAAAATCCGGGAACTGCATCATATTTTAGATAACGTCTTAAGTCTCGAGGAGAAAAAATTAAATGTGCAATTTTGCAGTAAACATCTACTTTCACTCAGTAGCATTGCTGATATCATCACCCGTTAGATATACTATAAAGTCCCCGTAAAAGCTTATGTATGTTAAACTTATACTTATACTTATGCCTTTTCAATAATATTCTCTACATTAGAACTGTTAGTACCCTAAATCACATGTGACTTGTCGGGACTCAGCCTTTTGAAATCATCCATATAGGTATACTTATTGTAAGTACAGGTAGTACATAGTTAATATTACATTACATACTACATAACTGTATACATCATTTCAATTGTAAAAACTCTTCTCTTCAAAAGACTTCTTCCTTTTGACCATAATTGAAAAAATTAGCTCTAGCAAAACTCGAGAATATATTCCGTCACTATGCTTTCTCAATTCAAAAATCCTTTAACAATGTTTCCATGATGCGATTTAATTGAGAAATCATGATTCATCAATTTAAACCATGTCAACCTTTTGAACCTTTCACCTATTCCGTGGCCCTACCCTAGGCATCTTCTTTGCTCAAAATACAAAGGTGAAATGTAAGAGAGTATTGTCAAGATTTCTTATTAAGATATTAATCAATTTGAAATTAAATTTTGTGTGTGTGTGTGCGTGTAGAATCTAAAACCTTCTCTAATCAGCCTCAAGATGCAAAATCACGCCTGTGAGATTTTCCTCTTCATTTACTGCATAATATATTTCACAAAAGCGACATAAATCTGTTTGGGAGGCGTTAAATCCACAGGCTATTTGCTAGACAGTAAACGGATTTATTATTGCCGCTTGTGTTTACCTTTAACGCGTCAAATTAAATAGCGCTTTGTTTTTAGTGAAAGTGTGGTGGCAAAATAGTTCTCGGCTTTTATTGATTTCATAGCGCAGAATTTAAGTTTCCATCAACTTTTTAATGTTTCGCGTCGTAAAATACAAAACTACTTCGGTAAATTTTAACTGGCAGTTTTACAGCCAACGGCTCATTATTTACTTACAAAGAAACTATGTTGTTTGGCAAACTGGGACGTCAGACAGTATTTATCATTTTTGCTAGGCCATTCGCGTACGCTACACAAAAACGCTCGGTTAAATAAATGATTTAAATTCTATTTTAATCATATAAACCGTTAGGCTAATTTGGAATTTTTATCAAGTCGGACTTGCTTAAATATGTTACACAGTAGGTAACACTAGTTTTTCTCTCACCTTTATAACTTTTTCATCAATTTTTTAGCTGTTGGACCTTAAACTTTTGCAGCCAGTATAAGTTTAGACTATTAAATGGAACGTTGTGTATCTTTATGCAGAGTGTCCCAAATAAATTAAGTTGTATGGGGATTTTGGAAGAAAAAAAGGTGCACAATTGTTGCATGCATCTACAGGCCAGGAAATACCTTCACAGAGCAAACTAATAGTCAGATGATAAACATTTCAGGAGATTGTAATTAACCTAACATAAATTGGGAAAACCTATGGGTGATCCCAGCTGACAGGAAAACCCAAGATTTCATCGATATGTATCAGCCAAACAACTTACGCAACTAATAAACTTTCCATCCTGTTTTAGAATTGACCTGAGTTCAGTGTTGGATCTGTTTCTTTGCAATGAAAAAAAAGCATATTTGATTTCAAATCAGAGCCACCTATAGGACGCAGTGACCATGTCATTGACATAGCTCAAGTACAAATAAAAATACTTCAGGAATCAACAAAAAAGGGTCTTAGAAGAAATTTTTACACAGCAAAATATAAAGATGTCAACAACTACATCAGACGAAAACCTAACAATATAGGACAGACCAAATTTGAGAGCTTTTAGATAGTTTTAAATGAAGCAGTACAAAAATATATCCCATTGGAACCTACAAAAGTAAATCAGCAAAACCCATGGATAAATCATAATCTATTCAAAGAAATTATTAAAAAGCGAAAACTGTGGGATAAATGCAGAAACAATAAATCACAAGAAAACTACCAGGCCTATATGAGAGAGAACTACGCTGTTTTTTTTTTTGAAAATAATTCAATTCCATCATCCCAACATTGGTTTCTTTCAGAACGCTCAACAACTACCAACTTGCTTGAATGTTTAAATGACTGGACAGAAAAATCATGTCAATGCTCAACCAACATACGTGATTTTCCTGGACTATGAAAAAGCCTTTGATAAAGTGCCACATAAGCTGTTATGTGAAAAGTCGGAGTGCGCGAACAATTGCTGACATTGATTAGAGCAGCGGTTCCCAAACTGGGGGGCGCGCCCCCCTGGGGGGGCGTGAAGCAACATTAAGGGGGGCGTGAGTCTTCTAGAAAATTAATACAAATTTTAAGATTTAAAATACAAAAATCAGTTAAAATTTAAAAAAAGATGTCTACAATTTGAACATTTATTAACATAGACTGTTTTTAGTTACCTTTTTATCTTATTCATTATATTTGTTATTCGATAGATATGTTCATTTCATTCACGTGAGTTTTTCATTTAAATCCGTAATAAACCAAAAATAGAGTTGATGATGGGTGCCCGAAAACGAAACGTATGATTTCAAATTTGACAACGCTCTTTTCTAGGAAAGAAAAAGTAGCAACGATGAAGTAACATTTGCTTTTTAATATCTACCACTTCAAATAAATTCAGAAAAAAATAAAACGGATTTTGCAAAATTCTATTTTTTTATTCCGAATATTTCCGGAAGTATTTCGAATTTATGAAATTTTAAAACGGCATATTATTGACCATGAAGTTGCGCAACTTTGTCCTAATTCAACCGACCCTGTTTTTCTTACGGTTTCTAAGATCCCAATGGTCGATCTCGAAAAACGGACTGCACAATGTATAATATTTGACATAATTATAACAAGTCATACAGTGAGGGGCAAGCTACTAGGTATATAGGATGTAACCTGACGAATTTGCAGGCGTCCGCATTTCAGAAAATGACAAATCGATTTAGCGCTAACCTGGCGACAACCAAGTAAAAAGTTTCTAGGGTTGTTAATAATTTTCAAAAATACGGTTGTGTTTCTCCCTGAAACCAAACGAAATGACGTCCCGGAAAATAATGAGGATCAAGAAGCCAAATAAATTATGTTGTTGGTTGTTGGCAATAGTGAACAAAACTTCAACTATTTCGACTCGTGCGCTTGCGCAGGATATTGACTCGAGTACAAGGACGGTTAGGAGCCACAGAAAAAAAAAAGTATCGTTCGTAGAAAGTAAGAAACTCCCAAAAAATTGATCCTGAGGACAACATCAGGCGAATGGATTTTTGTGAAACTGTCATTAATAAGGCAAATGAAAATCAAGATTTTCTTAGAAAAATTGTCTTTACAGATGAGTCGACATTTCAACTCCATGGTCGACATAATCCTAGTCACACCCGTTATTGGTCTAAGGAGAATTTACACAGGTATTTTGAGCTTAGAGCCCAGCGTCGTCAAAAGGTAACTGTCCGGAGCGGTTTGTGTGGATAACATATTATTGGGCCGTACTTCATGGACGCTAACTTAACTGGTCCAAAATATTTGGATCTTTTGCAACGGGCCAACGGCAGATAATTCCAGAAATTGAAAGATTATCTGGTCCTATAGATTTAATGAAATATGGTATCAATAAGATGGATGTCCAGCCCATAATACGGGTTTCATTCTGGACCATTTGAATAATACTTTTCCGAACCGTCTCATTGCTGGGTCGAGAGCTGCAATACTGTGACGCTCTCCCGATCTTGCACCCAACGATTATTTTCTCTGGGGTTATTGCAAATCAAAAATGTATGGTTTTCAGGAGAATCGCGCCGTGAACCTTGAGCAGCTGCGTTTCAAAATTCGAGAAATATATCTAACTGTCACCCCTGTGGTGCTAAATAATATTCGTAGAGCCTTCTATGATCGTTTAGGTCATTGTTTAGTTCAAGAAGGTGGACTGTTTGAACATTTGCTACATTGTAGTGCAAATGGTAATCGAGCCAGGTTTTTGGGGTCAAAACTAGAATTTTTGTTTTTATTTTACTTAATTTTTTTTCGATTTTTTATGTTGAATATATTTTTAGTTTTTCCTGGATGGCTTTTTTAAAATACATGTTTTTTTTCCATAGATTATTGTTTCGGTTCCAAAAAAAATCTGTCTATACACGCCGTTTAATAATTATAAGTAAGTGAAGCTCGACGATACATCTAAAAGCACGGTCTAGATGCTACGTTTTGCATCAAGTTTTGTCTGCACAGTTCAACACGTGATCGATCAGGTATCAGTAACGTAACGTCTGGACCGGGCTTAAGTCTGTAAAATCATAAAACGTACTGATGTGAACCATGGTTTATGAACATCAAAGTCATCGAAAAAACGACAGCGGACCGACAGCGACAGGTGTTCAGACGGCTGCGGACGATCGTAAATTCGTCAAGTTGGATCCTATATACCTAGTAGCCTGCCCCTTACTGTATATCAAAATTCAGGAAACTTTACGCTTTTTTCAAAAAAATCAAAATATATAGGGTGGTCCCGTGGTCCGTATGAAATAAATGAGTTTGGCGTCGTATAAAAAATAACCAAGCACCCTGTATCTATAAAAACTGTGTATTGCAATGGATTTTAAATAAAAAAAAGCCCTGAGAAACATTTTACCACACACCTGGGCCTTTTTTTTTATCTCTAAAAATAAAGGGTGTTTCCATAAGAAAGTGTCCAATTTGGATCAACCTGTACTATACTACACATCGGTCAGAATAACCCAGGTCATAGCTATTTTCTACAACAAACACTAATAGCATCTGTTGCAAAATAGAAAGACCTTGAAATCACAGTGATGGCAGACCTAAAATGGGAGACTCATTACTGACGTAACAAAAAAGAAAAATTCAATGACATCCAAACAGCATCCAAAGACCACTTTAAAGAGATGATTTTGAAATTGTATGCAAGTCCTACATTCAACCAAAACTTGAGTATGCCCAATCAATCTGGAACCCTTACTATGCGAAAGACATTGAACAACTCGAGCGGAGTTCAACGGCGAATTACCAAAATTCCTAGTGAACTTAAAGAACTGCCATATGAAATCAGACTGACTCAATTAAACCTGATCACACTGAAGGACTGCAGAACTAGAGAAGATTTTGTCGAGACATTCAAAATTCTTAATGGATACTATCCCTGCAACCAACTCAGCATCAATCAAAACCTAAGAGGTCACAACAAGAAGCTCTACCCTTTACAAAAGCTACATAAGGTCAAAAATAGAATATGCGTATACAGTGTGGAATCCATATTATAGAACTTCTTGAGAAGATTTAGCGCAGAGTGACAAAAATTCCCCCACAGTTGAAACAGTTGCCGTATCCAGAAAGATTACTTGAATTCAATTTGACATCTCTTGAAAAAAGAAGGCACAGGGGTGATTTAATTGAAACCTACAAAAAAACTAGTGATATTACTAGTCTTATCTGATAAATGTTTTCCATCCATGTCGAAATTCTCATCTCCGTGGCCATTCTAAGAAGCTTGAAAAGGAAAGAAGATCAAAATTACCTAGGAAAAACTTCATAGTAAATCGTGTAGTGCATTCTTGGAATTTGCTTTGCCAAAATACAGTCTCAGCACCAAACACTGATATTTTAAAAATCGTGTTGACAGAGAATTGAAGGAATACTCAGAAAGAATAATTCATTATGGTGCATAAACTAAATCTCAGATATCCTTTAAAAAATTTGTTAAAGTAACAATACCTTCATTGGTTTTGACCGCCTGCTATTGTAATTCTAATAAAAATAATAATAATAATTAACATCATCACTTTGCACATACATAAATTAACCTAAACTACATACAAATAATGGACAGGTTACAGAGAAATAGGTTAAAGAATGAAAAAGTTATAAAGGCCAATGTAATTTCCACACTCATTATAATAAACTTGCAAGTTTGGGCAACAAAAAATTCTGGACTAAAACCTGAGAAATACAGACCCAGTTCTATGGAAACATTTGTATCCAATAAATTAAATCAAAATAATATCTCAAGTAAAATGCAACATGAGATAATCTGATATTTTTTAAGTTAAGAAAAATTATCTGATTGATAATTTTCAATTAAATTGTAGGTGCTTCTCGAATCAGGAGCTAATGCAGATCAAGCTGATATCGATGGTTGGACACCTTTAAGGGCAGCAGCTTGGGGAGGACACACTGAGGTACCAAAATACTATACTTTAACAAACGTTATCTTCTTAAAATGGAATTTTCAGGTTGTTGAGCTTCTAGTTCAACACGGATGCCAGTTGGACAGCGTTGATGCCGAAAACCGTACAGCTTTGAGGGCTGCAGCTTGGAGCGGTCACGAGGAAATTGTTAAAATTTTATTACAGCATGGGGCCAGTGTGAATTTAACTGATCACGAAGTAAGTTTATTTTTCTGTTTTTGTACTGACTCAAAAGGATTCCGAAATCCTTTCAGGGTCGTACAGCTCTAATAGCAGCCGCCTATATGGGTCACAGCGAAATAGTGGACCATCTTCTTGATTATGGGGCAGATATCAACCATGCGGACGCTGATGGGAGGACTGCTTTGTCAGTGGCTGCCTTGTGTGCTCCAAGAACTCCAGGTAGAAATTCAATTTTTTAAATTGAAAAAATCAAACAAATTGACTTTTTTTCAGGGGTCAGTGTTGTTTCTACTCTCCTAGAGCGAGGTGCAACTGTAGATCACAAAGACAAAGAAGGAATGACTCCTTTATTGGTGGCTTCATTTGAGGGCCACAAGTAAGAATTTATTTTTTTTACTTGGATATTTTTTACAATTTTGAAATTCTTATAGGGACGTTTGCGAATTGCTCCTAGAAAACGAATCTGACGTAGATCACTGTGATAATAGTGGCAGATCACCCCTATGGGCTGCTGCCAGTATGGGACATGCTCCGGTGGTAGCATTGTTACTATTTTGGGGCTGCGCTATTGATTCAATGGACTCTGAGGGTAGAACTGTGTTGTCAGTAGCTGCTGCTCAAGGTATTAATTTTTCTTCTGAAGGACATTACACTTTTCTTATAGAAATTTACGTATACTTATACGGTTCAGTTTATTCTAGCTTCCATAAGAAAGGTGCATGGTCCTTTTATATTTATTTAAAATAAATACTAAATTACAGGTTGTGTAGAAGTGGTGCGACAGTTACTCGATAGAGGTCTTGATGAGCAACATAGAGACAACTCTGGATGGACCCCATTGCATTATGCTGCTTTTGAAGGTATTTGTATTAGAGTCACATGGTTTTTTAATGTTAATAATACATTTTTCAGGGCATCAAGAAGTATGTGAAGCTCTACTAGAAGCAGGAGCGAGAATTGACGAGACTGACAATGAAGGCAAAGCACCTTTAACTCTGGCAGCCCAAGGTGGACATACTGTTTTAGTTAATTTGTTTATTGATAAGTATAATGCTCCGGTGGATCAACGGCCTCATGATGGCAAGACTGCACTAAGGTAGTTACTTGACTATTAAAACAAAAATATTTACAACGATTTTTCTTAGGTTGGCAGCGTTAGAAGGTCATTACGATATAGTACAAATTTTAATTTCGCATGGAGGTGACATGGACTCGAAAGATGCTGATGGTAGAAGCACGCTTTACGTTTTAGCCTTGGACAATCGATTGGCGATGTCTAAGTACTTTTTGCAGCAGGGTGCTGATGTTGAAACGCGAGATTTAGAGGTAACTATTTAGTATCCTAATGAAAAATTAATGCAAAACAAAACTAGAAATTATGGTATGATAATTATATTTTTTCTAATATTTTTTGTTGTTAGGGTCGTACACCTCTCCACGTCTCCGCTTGGCAAGGCCACACAGAAATGGTATCCCTGTTGCTAACCTATGCCAAAGCCCAAGTAGACGCATGTGATCTAGAAAACAGAACCGCACTACATTCAGCCAGTTGGCAAGGCCACAGCGATATAGTCAAAATACTATTAGAACACGGTGCTTTACCAGATCATACCTGTAATCAAGGAGCAACAGCTTTGGGCATAGCTGCCCAAGAAGGCCACGAACTTTGCGTGGTGGCTTTACTGGAACACGGTGCTGATCCTAATCATTCAGATGCTTGCGGACGGAATGCTTTAAGGGTGGCTGCTAAATCGGGACACAGAGGTGTAGTGAGATTGCTAGAGGATTACAATGCTAGATCGCATAAAATTAATATGTCGGCGCATACTAGTAGTAGTGCTAATTCGATAGCGTCAAGTAAGTAACTGATTTAGACGGTACAAAACTCCCTTATGTTTGTGATTAACTATTCTATTTTTAATGCTTTCAGCAAAACATTTTCATTTTTTCTGTTTTACAGCTTCCACTGCAGAAACCAAACCTTCATCTGCCATATTATATCCAGTTGGTGGAGGCGAGTGGATTGATCAACAAAGAAGATCAATGGTTTCTTTAGGAAATCACAGCTCAAATTCGAAAAGTAGTTCAAATCTAACAGGGTCTAGCCATTCCAGTAGGCATGGAGACAGACAGAGGGAGCAACCACAAAATACACAGGTAGATTGATATATTTTTGTTAAATTTTCATAATAAACTTTCTCTTTCAGCCTATGTCTTTTACGCAACAGCTTCAGCAATGTTCCAGAGGCGGTAAAACGCGTCCTCTAAGCAAATTGTTGTCACCTTTACAAAGCGAACCACAAAGTCCTATATATGCATCTCCACCTTTGAGTCCGGTACACGACAGCCCTAATAATGCCTTTGGTGATTTGCATTTATATTTTTCTTTTTGGAGCAATTCCTATAATTATAGTTTCAGGTGCTATGAATATATACCAACCGGTCTTGAGGCACAATAACTTTGGAAAAGCTCCAGATACGCATTTCGCTCGAGACACTCACATGAGAATTATTTTGGGTAATTCGACTAATTCGGGTATTGGCAAAGAGAAAAAAGGTGATGATAAACCTGAAAAAGAATCCAATAATAAGCAAAGGTAAGAAAATTGATATTATTTTTTAAAAAATATATAATAGTCAGGTCTCTTCAGATAGTCAAATTTATATTATTATTTCCAGCAATCAAAAATCGAAACGAAACGGTATAGTGACGAATCCCGCGTTGAGATTGGTCGCAAACGTGAAAAACGGACTGGACACGGCGGCAGCTAATTTGCGCAAGTCTGCCTCTGGTGCAAATCCGGCTTCGAAAACGAACAGTTTTCATTGGAGGAAAGAGACTCCTCTGTAATATAGACGGGCAAAATTTTGCGCGTGAATTTTTACTAGTCAATCAAATGGTAAGTGGCTTTTAATCTTTGAAGCTGATTTGACATTTCATGTATTATGTCGTGTATTTATGCATTACCTACTTTACAAGATAAGATGTTTTATATTCGAGTATCTCTTGGAAATCAAGTGTTCAACAAGCATTTTTTTCAAAACCCGCATTATTGCTCCTTGCTCCTGCTAAAAGAAACGATAGGCAATATATTTATTCGCATGATCAAGTTTAGAAAGTTTTACAGGAAATAATCATGAAAAAGTTGAAAATCAATTAGTTGCTAATTTAACAAGCACATACACATAGGTACCTATGTTATATTCGGGTATTGTTTTGTGTATTGAAAAACTACCTATCAGTGTACCTATGGGGAAAACATTCTGAGGGAAGAAAATTTGTCAAATCCCATATCATTTGCCCTCCATTTATTGATAATGCACTGATAAGTTCACATCAAACATCACGAATAAAAAATTAGAGAATATTCCCGACGATACTGATCGTATTTATCAGAATTTGACACACACTCACAATGGGGCAAAGGACTCTATCTAAAGGTTCTGTCATGAAAAACAAGTCTTGGAAAAACTGAAATGAAAACTTATTGCTAACGAAAATATTATAAACGATCTGATTCATGGATTATCTAAAAATAGAAATTGAACAAAAATTAGATTTATCTAAATATAATAATAACAATTTAAGCATATTGTACCTGAACGCCCAGTCAATTAGGAATAAGCCGTTCGACCTAAATATTCTCGTTATTAAAATAAAGGTTCCTGACGCTCTGGTCATCACAGAAACTTGGCTTCCTCCAGGGTGTTACAAATTAATTGATATTTGTTACTTTAAGACAAGATAACCTAGGGTCGTGGAATTCAAAAAATTAGGATAATGTGTAGTCCCTTTATGTGCAAATGAAACCATTCAAAATCCAACAAACAATTATTTTATTTTGTTTACAATGTTATACCGGGTGCCCACGAGATCACTTTCCGGTTGCCATTTTTTTATTTGTCCATTAATATCAACGAAACTTGGTAGAGTTGATATTCTATCCAAACGCCATTTTTATGCATTTATGACAAGTTTTCTTGACTTCCGGTTCCACCGGAAATGACCGGAACTTTTGATTTTTAAATGGCCTGTATATTTTTTGTTTTTCGGATTCTACAGGTCGTTTTACGTCCTAATGCACAATTTTTGAATCGAGTTTTGCCCAAATGTTGTTTTTAAATTAAATTTTAATTTTTTAACTAGAGTGCCATGATCATCCTAAAATGACTCTACATACTTTACTCAAGTTCAGAAAAATACAAACTCAATTTTATCTTTGTAAATTTTTTTGATAGAGGGCTGTAAACTTCATTATTTTGGTATTTTTGCCCTAGCTCAAAAACTAGAATAGAAACATATCACTTTCATAACATTACTAAATGCAGTTTTTTAAAGCGAATCCAAAGATATAATACACTACGACATTTTTCTTAATGTTCGTCCAAATATTTCTGTTTTATTATGTAGGTAATTTCTTTTTTCTACTTAAAATTTAATTTTGAAAACGAAATTTGGACAAAACTCAATTTAAAAGTGGTACATTAGGGACGTAAAACGATCTGTAGAATCTGAAAAACAAAAAATATACAGGGTGTGCCATTTGAAAATCAAAAGTTTCGGTCATTTCCGGTGAAACCGGAAGTCAGGAAAAATTGTCCTAAATGCATAAAAATGGCGTTTCGTTAAAATATCAAGCCTACCAAGTTTCGTTGATATCGATAGACAAATGAAAAAATGGCAGCCGGAAAGAAATCTCGTGGGCACCCGGTATAGTAACATAGAGTAACAGAAAATGTTACTTTGTGTAAAATTTTAGTGTTGACAGCTTGGTTTTTCCGGTGAATCTGATACCATGTACCTTTCCAACCCGAAGCTCTTCAATGGGTATTGAGGTTTCACTTTTGTGAACTGGAGCTTTTCGTGTTGTTTCCTGTATCCAGGAAAGAGGATAGACTGCTGGGGTGACGTCACTCCAGCTGATCCAGACTCCAAACAGTGATCTTTATGTGGAGTAAGTACCCAGAAAAGAATAAGGCAGTATCAGGTTCACCAATATTTGGAATATTAAATCCCTGAATTCTGTCAAAAAGTGAGTGTCTTACAAAGAAAATTTAAATTGATATATATATAACTGTTATTGTACAAACACTCCCAACAGAATCAGGTATGAACAACTATTGCAAGTTGAAAAAAAAAAAAAATGTTTTAATATAAAAAAAAATACAATTAAATAACTGAGAATAATGGTAAGATAATAATAAAATTAAAATAACAAAATTAAATTAGAATGCTCGTTATGATTGAGCAAAATGCTGCTTTTCTGACATTAGCACTTTTAGGCAAAAATATGAACAAAATAAGGTAAAACAATGAGAAATTAAATCTTTGGATTCTCCCCCAATAGACGAATTTTTTCTTTTAAAACCTGACGGTGAAATCGATCAAATCCAGAATATGTCAAAATTCTTGAGATGTTTTAATTAAAACTTTTTTTTTCAATTTTTGACCTGTCTGGATTCCTATTAAATAGTATATTACAATCCGAGACGGGAAATGCTTCATTACTGGTCGAGAGGTTTTATAGTTTATCGAGACGCGTAGCGTCGAGATAAACTGAACCTCGAGATAGCAATGAAGTTTCCCGTCGAGGGTTGTATACTATTTTATTTTTAACCATAATTTCTTGAAAAAAAAAAATTCGGGGCAACCAAATGAGGTCGGCAAATGAAGAGGAAAATGAGAACGGGAAATATTTCCCTGCTCCATTTTCCGTCCGTGGACGGGAAATGAGGACGGAAAAAATTTCCCGTCCTGGGACAGGTAATGGAACAGGAAAATGAAAAGACAGAAATGTGACATTTTCAAATTTTTGAAAAGTCAGTAATGACAACATTTCATATATGGTTAAAAATAAAAAAAATTACACCCTTTATTCGAGATAATAATTGACGGAAACAAACAGAAAATAGCTATTCAGGCCTCTGCCTGGATTCATTAAAGAGTTGATAGGGATGGACACACAAATTTGCCGTAACTTTCTGTTTTTGAATGAGACGCTAGGTATATTTTCCCTTATTTCAATAGAAAACTACATTACGAGTACAATGATACCTCATTTGCCACTTTTTGACATTTCATCTCCAAATTATTTAAATTTTTACTTTTTAATCTAGAGTGCCATGAATTAGTTAAAATGCTCAATTTTGCTCCAAGGAACCTGGGAAAATTTGTTTTTATCTTATTTTGTATTTAATATCCTCAACAGACTCATTTAAAGATAGTAGAAGCGCATTTTTGGAATTATATCAATTTTTTCAAATGGAACGGGTATGGCTCATAAGCATATTCCGAGAGAGTCTTTTCTTACGAACATTCTATAGGGTATTCCAATAAGAGGTTTCGAATGTTTTATTTTCCTACTCTTCTTGTCTCAAACTTTGTTTATATTATTCGGTTTTTATTTCATTGTGGAATTCAGTACAATTTCAGCAATGGAGCGCTACACGGTAGAACAACGTGTTTACATTGTTAAAACGTATTTTTTAAATGGGTCTTCTGAGAGAGTCACGTTTCGCGGCAAATTTGTGAATACTTAACGTGTACGCAATCGTCCGTCAGAAGTAACCATTCGTAAAGCGTAGATTCAAAACTACCGGATCTGTGCAAGATATCCAAACAAAAGTCCGGGAACGTCCTGCTCGTTAGATTTAAAATATTCAGGCGGTTCGTGAAAGTATGTAAAAAGATTTAAGGCTACATCCTTACAAAATTCAACTAGCACAGGAGCTAAAGCCAGCCGATCATGAGCGACGCCATGCATTTACCAATTATAGTGGAAAACTTCATCAAAAGAATTGTGTGCTGCCAGAGAAGTCGTGGTGGTCATTTGGCAGATATTGTATTCCACGATTAATTGTACACTGTCCAGCTACGCACTGCCATAAATAACTTTTAGGTATGTTATGAAACTTTTATTTTATTCGTTACCAACATTCGAAACCTCTTATTGGAATACCCTATAGTACCACACAATCGCTAGTTTATTCAAATATTGAACTAAAATTTTCCAAAAATATCTAGAATGCTAGGAAAATTCTTCATTTGAGTGATGAACTAGCGATTGTGTGGTACCGAATTGCTCGTTAGAAAACGCTTTTCTGGAATATTGTAATGAGCCACACCCTTTCCATTTGAAAAAATTGAGATAATTACAAAAATGCACTTCTACTATTTTTTAATGAGTCTGTAGAGGATATAAAATACAAAATAAGATCAAAACAAATTTTCCCAGGTTCCTTGGAGCAAAATTAAACATTTTAACTAATTCATGGCGCTCTAGAATAAAAAGTAATTATTCAAATAATTTGAAGATGAAATGTCAAAAAGTGACAAATGAGGTGTCATTGTACTCGTAATGTAGTTTTCTATTGAAATGAGGAAAAATCGAGGGGTAAACCGCTGACCAAAAGTTGTACACTAAAAATATTTGACAAATAATACCAAAAATACCGTCTTAAAATACCAAAAATACCAAAAAATATCAAGAATACCAGAAAATACTAAATTTCACCAAATATTACCAAATAATACCATATATTACCAAATATTACCACAAAATACCAAATAATACCAAAAAATCCAAAATAATACCAAATATTACCTTAAAAATTCAGCTTAACAATCTATTAAATATGCTTCAAAAGAAATCTGAAACCTGGTCCAAAACCTAGTCTAAAACCATTTTACCTATTTTCTTTCATATTAAGATATGTACAGGGCGTTACACTATGAGTTAGTCAATAGATTTTTTCATCTCCTTGTCTAACTTATAGTAGAACCTGATCCAAACTAGGATACAAATCACATGACCCAAATATAACCAGTAGGTAAGAAATGAAAGATCATGTACCTTGTTGTTTGGGTAAGTGTTTGTCTGTTTCTAAATACATAGTACAA